ATTGTTTTTGTTATACGTAGGAAGGGGAATGGCTTCGAATATATATGCGAAACCAAAATGAATTACATGGAAATAATACATTTCATACAATGAATATTTAATTATTCATGCAAGAAATAAATATGATAGTTATGGGTTTACAAATTTTGAATATATAATTCTTTGAATGATTGATTTCCAAAATAAATTAAATGGATTCATATTTTGATGAATAGTATCTGATAAAAATAATTAAATACCTCGTTACTATGGTAATGGATACTAATATGTAAAAAATTTTAAGATATGCTTGGTTGTCATGTGCGTGTCATTAAAATTAGAGTCGGTAATTTGGATGAGCAATTGCCAAAATTTTAGGACTAAACTTAGAAAAGCTGAAGTTATAATCATGCCTTCTGTTTTTTTTTTTTGGGCTTCAAATAACCTTGCCTTTTCAGCAGGCCTAAATAGGGTTAAAGCCCATTTAGGTTTGGATTAACCCAGATACATGTACTTATATTTTTTTTTGGGTGCAAAGATACATGTACTTATTGATTTTACATGTTAACTAATTATTAAACTTAATGTGAATTAAAAATAATTATTATACATATATATAGAGGAGAATCAATTTCCATTTTTTTTATGTCTACTAATTTCAATATTATTTTATTTTTTTTATTTATCCATTTTTATGTCTTTGCTTGACCCAAATTTTTTCTTCCTTTCTTTTTTTCTCTCCAATGTTCACGGAGAAGAAAACTATTTTATTCAGGAGCGATCGAGAATAATTGTATTATGGTATTAATTTCATTAGTTAATAAACTGTATTATATATATTTATCTCATTTGTTAAATATATGTGAGGTGTGCATTGGTGACTTATATTTAAGAAAGTGTGCATACGCGCATATATGTCTCGTGCGCGTGTATATAATTTCTTTCAGATTTGAAATCCTTATTCCTCTATAAGGATAGTTTTGCATTTTCACCCTCTGAAAAATTTTAATTGGAGGAAAAAAACTGGTTAATATAATGAAACACATCATAAATGTGTTTAATTGTATGATCCTTTTTTCATAGGGTCGCTTAAATCCATCCATTACCTAATTGACAACATGAATTGGTATAGATTGTGAGATCCTCACGCACTTTAAAAATTACAAGCGGCCTTAACTTAATCTATACTTAAAAATAATTTAGTAATTAAAACATAGTTTTTATATCAATGGTCTTGAAATCTAATGACATAGAAATTCCACGATAAAGTGGAGGTTGTAAAAAACACTAGTACAAAATGTTAGTTTGAAGGAACAGAAATAATTTTACCCATGGCTTCTATTGCTTTAAAAACAGAAGCCGTAAATAAGATTATCATTCTATCACCACTGTTATATATACAACAGGCGCCATACATAAATATATCAACTATATATGCACATGTAAATTAACTCTTAAAAATTTTAAATAAGATGTAAATAAATTGCCACTTAAACTAATAAATTTTTTTAAAACATGTTAATCAATATATCATATAAATCTCATCCCCGAAGCCGATCATCCAAACCAGCTCAAATTCGGCTCCTGAGATAAATATGCACTACACGGTATGTGCATGGCTCAATTGCAAAAAAAAAAAAATTATGTGGCTCCGTGCCTGTCCTTTGTGGCTCAGCAACTTGTTTTGGGCTGCTCCATACATATGACCAGTCCTTGTCAAATGTTATTCAAATTATCCCGCCATTTTGCCTACTGGCATTAATGTATGTTTCACATTTGAAAAAATCATTTTCCCAAATGTTTTGTAAACGCTCGGGAGAAGTCGCTCAACCCGCAGTGTTGGATGGCCTCAACGTTGGGAAGATAAAGCATCGGTAGGTGATGGTATGGGTAATATTTGTGTTGGAACTGTTGTTCTCCCAAAAATCTGTGAAGGTATGTCCTTAATGAGATTTGATGGTATTCCATTTGTCCCTTCAGTACCACCGTGCTATTAATGGATCATTAATATGGGTGTGCAGATAGGGAGTGTGGTGGTTGCCATTTCAAGTCCTCCTACCCGTTCGCAATAAATGGTTCCAGCGTTGAGAATGATTTAGGAGAGTTCTTCAAACCCTTTTCATTCCTATTTAAATGGTTCACAAACTCTTGTGTGATCATCAAACAGTTGCATACTGCAGGACTTCAAGCGACCCAACGTTTGATTAAACATGCATCATGGAGGTGACATTTTTATCTCAGTCTCACATTCTTGCTTTCATCAATATATCATATAAATCTCATCCCCGCCATTTTGCCTACTGGCATTAATGTATGTTTCACATTTGAAAAAATCATTTTCCCAAATGTTTTGTAAACGCTCGGGAGAAGTCGCTCAACCCGCAGTGTTGGATGGCCTCAACATTGGGAAGATAAAGCATCGGTAGGTGATGGTATGGGTAATATTTGTGTTGGAACTGTTGTTCTCCCAAAAATCTGTGAAGGTATGTCCTTAATGAGATTTGATGGTATTCGGTTTGTCCCTTCAGTACCACCGTGCTATTAATGGAATCAACGCCTTCATCGACGACAGGAAGCTTGGAAAGGGGGAAGAGATCTCACCTGCGCTTCTTGAAGCCATTGAGAGATCCAGGATTTCCATTGTTGTGTTCTCTAGGAACTATGCTACTTCCACATGGTGCTTAGACGAACTCGACCACATCATTGGGTGTAAGAAGGTGAAGAAGCAGGTGGTTATGCCCGTCTTTTACAAGGTCGATCCGTTAGATGTTCAATATCAGAGAAATAGCTTTGAGAAAGCCATGGCTGCTCTTAAAGATAGGTTCAAAGATGACTTAGACAAAGTGCGCAGATTGAGCTCTGCTTTGTGTGAAGCTGCTAGGATTTTTCTTTTTATCCAGTTCAAATTTTTCTTTATCTAGGATTTAGATTTTTTCTTTTTATCCAGTTCAAATTTTTCTTTATCTAGGATTTAGAGCTCTGAATTTCAATTTTTTTTTGTTAATTACTTTTCTTTAGTCATGGAGTTATGGAATCTTACTTTTCTATTATAGCTATCCCTGCTTCTTTGAAATTTTGAATAAAAACTGTTATGCGTTCAGCTCAACCTAACGTGACTTCTTCTTATAAAATAGTGTAGAAAATGAGTGTTTTCTGTCACTAGCTAACTGTCGCACAATTTTCATTTTGATTTATGAGTCGAATTTTTAGTTCTAATTTTACGTTACTCAAGGTTAGAAGTTTTTGAGTAGAATCCCTGTCTTGAATTAACTTTTTGAACACGATTTTTATTATTTTAATACTGAGAAGTTCACTTTTGTTGTAACTTCTTTATTCTAGATTTACTTAAATGTTACTGTGACAAATATTTTACAAAGAGCAAATAACCAAAACTAATTTGAATTTCTATAGATGCAAACTTGGGTTTATCGAAAGGATTGTGGAAGATGTATATGCTAGGCTACCACCCAACCCTTTACATAGCGTTGATCACCCAGTTGGACTTAAGTCTCGCATTGAAGAAGTGAAGTCACTTTTGGATCAGTCTCATGATGGCGTTTGTATGTTGGGGATCCATGGAACTGGTGGAATTGGCAAAACAACAATTTTGGGTGTGGCGATCGTCCTTTATAGTTCACGACGGTTTCAGCTAAATATGTTGAATATTTTTCACAATATCATATTACAACTTAAGTGTGAAAATGTTTGAATATTTCATTTGTTATTTCGAGGGAATGGCGAGTTCAAATGCATGGCTGGAAGTGTGATCGCGGTAGGATCATTTGACAGGGTTATCATCTTTTGTTACTGTCACACTCTTCAATCATTTCAATGTATTCGCTGGTCACAATTTCTGTTCATATGTCTCGTAATATAATATCAATGGTGGAAATAATTTCATGCCATTTGTAAAATCGTGCAGCTAATGGTAGGCAGTATAAGGGGGTAAATAAGGGTCATGAGAATTGTACCCATTTGATGACTACACTGTTCAAATATAGTAGGCAAATTTCACATTTTCTATTGTTGACCTTATGCCGTAAGGGTATAAGCCCATTAATGTAAGTGCCTATGGAATTGCATTGTTATCAAAGGATGATTGTGTTATTATATGAGGCCCAATTGTTTGTGAAGCTTAAATATGAACCAAACATGAATCAACTATTGATAACTTAACTTAACCATTCAAAACCCAAAAAAAAAAAAGGAACACATAAGCCACATAACATTGAACCCAACCTAAACATGCACTACGTTGCTTGACTCTAAATCATGGAGCCTGATAACTAAAAATTACAAGCTAATATGGAATTGTAACTTGACCATGAAACCTTAAAAAGCAAAATATGATGGGCTAAAGTCATAAGTTAGGCCCGATAAGGAAGAACCCGACATATTCATGTCAGTGGATCTTGAAACCTAATTAGACGCCGGCATAAGTTAGTTTCACTCATCATCACTTGTGACATAGCCTAGCTCTGGGTCAAAATCAGATGAAGAAGGCAATTTGATTGAGTCCTCCATTAAATCTACCTCCTTTACAGTGATGTTGTGATGATTGTGGGAGGTAATGGGATTTGGGGAGACTCTACGGTAATATGTGCGTACGGTTCTTCGTCTTCTTTGTCTGTATATCGGTATGATATTCATATACGTATCAGCCGCCATGTCAAAGATTGTCAGTTGTTCATCATGTCTCCATGGGATTATGACATGTATATCTGGGCTGTGCGCCCTAACGATACTTTTGTACAAGTACGAGGAAGCAAAATCATATGATTCTGCTGATTCGAAGTAATGGCAGAATAGACCTTCTGATCTTATGAATCCATATAAGCACCGAAGTAAAACATAACGTGAATCATACCATCGCTTGGATCCAACCCGCACCCGACCTCCTTCTGCCGCGTTTATAATCTTTTCGTTTGTTGATTCATCACGTGTTATTAGAACCACAAGTGGACCGCAGACGATGCGTAGCCAATTCACTCCACGATTCTTCCAACGTCGGAGGGTGTTGATGAATTCTTCCTCTACGAATATATTGACCTCAGACATTGTTCGAAGTATGAGTGTTTTCTGCGTCTACCTCGCAAACTGGGTAATCCTTAGTTATTTGGGATTTAACTGGAGAAGCTTATAGGTGTTCCCTGGCTTTGATATATATAATATTATTTCACATGGTGTAGAGGTATGTTCTGCTCACAGTATGTAACTAAGTATTTTGAACCCTGATGACAAAGGTTATCCATGATTTTCCATGTTTTCTAATATTTTGTGGTCAAAAGATATTTTGGGGCCTTGCCTTTAAACGATAACTCAAAATGGATAACACTTTCTTATTCTGCAACATCTGTTAATATAATTCCTTTTATGAGTAACTTTTTTTTTGGACTCTGTACAAGGTTCTGTTGTGTTGCTTTGACAATCGTGTTGGAGCAAAACTTCTCTATAGCCTATGTCGTTCGGATGACATAATGTCAGGCATAGCAGAGGTAAATATCATATTGTAAGCTCTATATCAGTCTTACAAAATGAAGCATTGATCAGAGGAACAGGTTCCATTTTGTATTTCACATTAATTTATATTAGCTTACAAAATGAAGCAGAGAATCGTCAGCCCAATTGAGTTGTCCTCTCAGGATTACTTATTTATTATATTATTTGTGACCTGGTCATTTTATACTGCTTACCTCAGACTGGATAGATGCGATGTGGTCTTTCTCTATGTTTGAATTTAGTTCCATGTTAATGTAAGTATCATTAACTACCCTGTAATGACGTGTTGTTTTGCTACCATTCTGCGTTTCGTTGGAATATGTGTTTATGGTAGACTATTGCAGTGGGTTGTAAGACACTTTGAATTATACCCTTTTTGAGTGATATTTGAATTATACTTCCGAGGACCAGCTGCTAACGTTCCATTTGGTTTAATCTGTCCAAAATATGCTGCCAAATGATGAACAGAGCTTTATTTATTTACCACATTAGTGTAAGTTTTAAGAGATCATCTTTAAAGACAATACCCTATAAGGATCCCCTTATTATCTTATGATGAAATAAGTCTGGAGAAACATAGGTGGACCTTTTGACCAAGTCGTACGAGTAATTGATTACAAGCTCGGTTTGATAGGTCTCAATCTGCTTTAAAAAAATTCTTCTGATATGCTGGGTTAATAATTTACACTGCATTACACATATATCAATATAATATAATATAATTATTTTATGTTGTCGGATAGCATTTGCTTGCTTTTTTATTAAGCATACAGAGTGTTTCAAAGTACTGGAAAAGGCTGAAGTTTTGCATATGGGTAACACTAAATGAAAAGAACATAAAGCTTCTCCATACAAGAGTTGTACATATCGTCCAATGCATTTATGAGTAAATATTGTACTATTCCAAATTTTAATGGTTTATTTTTTTAGGAAAAATATTTTTAATTATAAAGGGGTATTTTAATCTTTTAATAACATTCAAAAATTCTTAATTAGGCCTCATGCGATCTGAATTTTATTACAAGGGGTATTTTAATTATAAAGGGGTATTTTAATCTTTTAATAACATTTATGATAGAAGACTTTTATTACAAATATATGATATATGATGTATAAATATATGAATATCTGAATTTGTTAAATTTATGATTATTATGCATGGATATGATATATAATGATATTGTATTTAATTGAGGAACATAGGAAGGAAAACATATTGGTTGGTACTGTTTTTAACTGTGATAATGAAGCATGCCATGAAGATGTCGCCAGTCCTGACAATCGCATGGGCAGGTGTTGGTTTACTATGTGGGCTGCAATGATAATATTATATATTATATTGCACCTGTCTTTATTGGTTGGTGCTATTATTTTCCCATTTTTTGCATTTTACACACATGTGGGTCACCAATGCATTTCTTCGTTAACCATTAATGCATTCTGTATGATGATGCAGAGTGATGATGTAATCCTTTAGCATCCTTTTGCTTTTCCTCATGCATACCTATGTAGAGTGCTTTTCAAATATTAAATGCATTTGGGCAGTTTGCATTAGAAAGGTTTCCTGTGTTGCCCTACTTATTTTTCATCATACAGTTGACCATACCTGGGAGTAAATGATAAATTTAGAATATTATCATGCCTAGGCAGCAGAATCATGTCTTTATCATATCGGTACGAAGCTGTGGGTTCAACTGTGTTGTAGGGATCTTTTGGTGCAAGGAAGTTGTCCAGCCCATTATCTGTGGCATATGAGTAATGATGCATGACAATATTTGATCGACACAAATCGAGGTCTGTATAATAGTGTTTTCTAAAAAATTGATATGAACATTTTGGCAGGAAGTGCAGCACTACTCACTGGCTATATAATATTGAATGGGTTGCTAACTATTCCACATCCCCACTTGTAACTTCATCTTTGTTTTGAAGTATTCTCATTTACTTCTTTCACATCATGTCTCGTGTTTCACTTTTGAAGGACCTCAATGAAGGGACCGATAGGTGGAGGATCATAACACGTGTGTTTAGGAAATGGAGTGTTTATCAAAAGTTTGCCCCTGCTGATTTGTTTTGTATCACTATGATATTGGTTGATGAAGAGGTTAACCAGTGAAGGATTTGAATATTATAGTTTTATTCTTTATATGCTTCATTTGTTGTTAATTGAGTATTGATTATTGATATTGATATTAACTTTTTTGTTGTCGTTGAGCAGGGAAATAGAATTCAAGCAAGTGTTCTGAGCAGGCATTTACTTGATCAATTCAGAGATTTTCCAGTTGAAGGGGAAACCTATTTTATTGCTAATTTCATTGTATCTTCCAACAACAATCAGTACAGGGGTACCAATAATCCCTTCAAGATAACCTTTACACAGCAAACCTACATCAAGCCACAAGATGGACCAATTCCGATTAATGCATACTCCTTTACACCTATTGCTGAGGTTTTGAAGTGCACTGAGAGAACCTGTATTGACTACCTGATTGGTAATTGATATTGTTCGAAATATGTACAACTGGAATGAAAATATATGATATGTTTATTGCTAATTTTTTATTACTGATTCCTGATTACTAATTGCTTATTATCTTAATATTGAAACTCATTGTAGATGTTATTGCCTTTGTGCAATCTATTGGCTTGCTGGAAGAATATAGGAAGGAAAATGACACAAAGCATAAGCTGCGCATGGTTTTAGTTGACAATGAGTAAAATTTTCCTTCATTCTCATTTCATTTCTCTTTATATCATAGACACTGTGGGTTGTTATTTTACATAAGTATCATCCTCGTCCGTTGTTCTTAGGGAGAATGATATTGAATGTGTCCTTTTTGATGAGTGCTCCACTGATGCATATGCTAATTATTTGGAAAATATGGAGACGCTAGTTGTTGTTGTGATCAATCTTGCTAGGGTTGGTTTTGCTGAAGATGGTATGTTTTCACATGATACTTTGAAGTTGATACTCAGTTAAAGTGGAACCATTTAATGAAACCTAATAAGCAACTTTGTTTTATGAAAATAGGACGTCCACAGCTGTGCAGTTCATTCAGTGCTACGAGGGTGTTTTTCAACCCGTGCCTACAGGAAGTGAAAGACTTGATTGCAAAGTATATTACAAGAGTTTAAACATGGGTGTCATAAAGAGTCATTATTATTCGTTACTAATGCAAGACTAACAAGTAATGTGACATATTATTGCAGTGCAAAACAAAATTCTTCTCCCGTGATGACAGCCCTTACCCAACCAATCCCTACTCAGTCAGGACAACCTTCAGCTGATAACATGATGAGGAATAATACAAGAGTTGTCATTTCTGAGATTGGAAACCAGCGCATAGTGAGTTAATTGGATATTATGCATGCCAATTTTATTAGTGGTTTATTTCTTTATGAAAATGCTACCTAACGTTTTATGTTTGTTTTGATAGGATGCGACATTTATTATTATCTGTGTTATCATGAAACTGGAAACCCGACATGGATGGACATATGATTGCTGCTCTAAATGTGGAAGTAAGCCCAAGATGGAAGATGGGTCATGGTACTGCATGACATGCAAGAAGAAGCCTGAATCAATTGAGCCTAAGTAATATTGGACACTTCAATATGATAATGAAAGTAGAGACATGTTGTGATTCTGTTTGCAATTCTTTCACCTCATAGACTTTGCCTTTTTTTTTTTTAAAGGCTGAAGGTCCATTACGTTGTTGAGGATGAGTCAGGAAAAACTTCTGTTATATTTTGGGACAAGTTGGCAGTGCAGCTGTTCAACAAAAATGCCACAGAAATGAAAGTTTTACTTCAAAAGGTATCATTCAAATCATATTTAATATTTTAAACATATGAAACTGTATTAAATTTAACTTTGAATTAACAAGTATTCATTAGCAGGCTCAATGTGAATATGATTTCCCGGATAGCTTGGATGAATTGGTTGGCAAGCGGATGATCCTCAAGTTGAAACTTAATGACTATAACAAGAGGTACCCCTCTTCTAGCATAAGTGTCCTGCAGTATACCATTTGTGAAGACCTTATTGAGCAGTTCATACATGCAGCGATAGAGGTAATGGATTCATTTGTAATGTGATATTTAATATTTAATGCTTAATTAATACTTAATTTAATATTTAATATTTAATATTTGATTTATTTTTTTATTTCAATCAATATTTAGTGCTTAACTAATTAATAATTTATATCAATTATTAAATATTAAATGTTAAATATTAATTAAATATCTAATATCTAACATTAATATTAAATATTGATATTTATTATTTATTAATATTTAATACACAATGCTCAATAATTCAATAAATCAATATTCATTAAATAATCAATTATTAATTAATATATTAATAATTTATTATTTTCTATTACTAAATCTTTGGCATTTTTCTGTTAATAGAATCAGGTGCCTGCTAATGACAACCCAGCTGAGGTTAGTTATGTCATATTTCATACTCATTTTGATTTTGATTTCATTGGATACTTGAAGCCTACCTAAACGCAACTATTCAATGTGATCCCAATATATTAAACTTATAGTTTGACTGTTACCAAAACTAAAAAATTTATATCTTTCTAGGATGAAGTGTGTAATGATGACGACCCAACTACTGAGGTTAGTTGGGTTATATTTTAAATATATCTTTATTTTATTTGATACTTGAAGTCAGTCATTCTCCGAATGCCATGCATTTTTTAATGAACCTGTATTATTTATTATCATATGTAGCTCAATGAAGTAAGAGGTGAAGATCCCCGTTCCCCAGAGGTGGAAATTTCTATTCCAACCCAAAACATAAATGAGAGTGCCTATGTAGAGGGCAATATTGCATCTCCTGTGCAGTCAGCTCAAGTCGAAATTGATAGTAATGCAGATGATATGACTTTATCACAGTTGAGTGACAGCATGAAGGCTCCCCCAACTAAAGGTAAAAGAAAGGGTTCGGGCAAGAGAGTCGCCGCACTTGAAGTGTCCAAGACTATAAATACTCCCTCCTCATCTGTTCCAGAGGACAGGGTAGTTAAAGTTATCAAGCAAGAGAAGAAGTAGTCTGTTGTCTTTGTTCTTCAATTAGGATGAGTTGTATTATGTTCCACTTATGTTATTTTCTGAGAGTGTTGTCGTATGTGCTGTGTTTCGTTGATCGTGCTGCTAGGTTACTTGTGTTGTTGGTCATCTTTATTTACATTGTAGCATGTTGTTTTGAATTTATGTCAGTTTCATTTTGTGTTTACTTCTCTCTTAGTTCTATCTTAATTTTTGTTATCTTAATTTATATTCGATGTTCTCCCAAAATCATTAACAGCCATGCAAGATGACATTCAAGGGAATGTTCCGGATGTCTTTCAATGATCTATTAAATATTAACTATTTAAATTGAATTATAAATTAGAAAGTTTATGAATTTATGAAATAAGTAAACGTAAATTTGTACAGATACCAAATTTAGTCAATTTATAGGGTATAGAATTGAATGGTCATATTCATTCGTAAGTTAGTCACAAATTCAATAGTCATTCCGAAGTTAAAACCACATGAATCAAATTAATTTTCTATAATTGAGTAGTTAATATGGAATTGAATTAATATTTCAAATATGTAAAGTAGATGAGTTGGTGTACTTCATAGGCTACTGTTAAAGAAAATAAATTAATCAATTAATCAATTATTCATTAATAAGTGATTAGTATTATTTGGTTGGGAAAATTTTCTTGACGGTAACACAGTGGCAATTTAAATCGATGAAAACAAAATTAATATAAATTGATGTATAAATTAAATATATATTAGTTTATTACATGCAGTACATAATTGTTGATTGATTAATTAATTCTTATGAAGTGCTTCCACAGTTCCCATTATTAGTCTCAAATACAAGTAGATTAACCTTGTCTCGTGGGATATGTGCATGTGTTGTCATTGTCCTATACAACTGTCTAATTGGTTATGTCTATATCATACTGTACGCATTACGTCATACGGTCAAAACTTTCTAAGTGTTTAAGAATATTCGGAAGGTATCATTCACTTACTGTTTTATTTTATTATATTGATATATGATATATTGGTTATGTTATATGCATGGAATAATTGTCTCCACACTACAGGAAAGGACTTAGACACCATGTCCTCACAGGCATCAAGAACATCGAGAAGGAAACGCAAAGATGCTAAACCGCAGGTTTATGAAATCATTTCAATGGAAGAGTTCACACCGTTATCAGGATGTTCAACTTCATCTGCACCTGACAAAAACCCAGGTATGTCTCATTAGTTTTTTGTGATATGGAAAATTGTTTGCACAGATACTTATTAGGTGATAACTGTGCGACATGTTGATGTAGATATTAGACCACCTACTAACGGTGACCAACCAAAATCATATAGAATGAGTGAAGACAAGCCTATTCGAAGGAAAAGGAGAAGCATTCTACCTCAAGTTATTCAAATATTTTCACTTGAAGATAACCCAGTGTCAGCGTCGTTGTCTACCAGTAGTCATACTATAGGCATCCCAGAAGGTAAATATTGCAGTACAAATTTTTAGTTAGACACATTTTGGTAACATTGTTTGTAAGACATACTGGTCAAATATTGGGAAAATATTGTCTTGCAGTCACATATACCGTAGACGCTAAGAAGATCACTTCATGTGAGTTACCGTCCCAACAGAATCAATTACAGACACAGCCTTCAGAAGTTATAAGTATTGGTATGAAGGACTTCAGGCGGAAAGATCAACAAAGCTTGTGTCCTCTGAAGGACATTACAAACTTGGCATCAAACTTGAGTAAGAGATTCAACGATGAGACAGTCCCAGGTTTGTTTGAAGTAGGAAATGAGAATAATAATAGAATATTGTGTTCCTTACATGGTCGAAATTTGAAGTATGTAATTTATCTAAGTGAACAGTTTATGCGGCAAGAAGTTTTTACGTTTAGGCTTACATGTGAGTTTCAGTCCAATGTGAAAGACAAGATGGACATGTGGTAAAAGATTTGTTTGTTATTTGGGTTTTGTGTTGGTTTAATTGGACAAAAGTGTGAGCCTATATGATGCGTTAATTTTGGGTGGTTTGCATTAGATATTAGATGGTGAAAAATGAAAACACGAGAGCCTATAGTTTTGCTTTTCATGTTTCCGTTGGTTAAAGACATGAACAGCACATGATAAAAGATAGATTAATAATGAAGTAGAAAATATTAATAATGAAATTAAGTTAATAATTACTTAATAAAAATAAGTAAAATAATTAATTAATGGAGGAAAAATTTAGAAACTATAAAGACTTGTAGATTAATTATCCCTAAAAGATATGCCTATAATTTGGGTTTAAGTGTATTATGGTTCATGAAAGTGTTAGTTAGTACACATTGTGTTTTTCTTTGTTAGGCGTAAGTTAGTTTCCAACATTATTAGGCTTCAATAAAATTGGTATAAAGTTGCATTTTCTTTGGTGTCCGTGCATCATAAATATTCACTTAGTAATTGCAATTGGCGGTATTAAAATCAAATACAATAATCTCTCATTCATCAGGAGAAATATTACTATTTAATTCCAACATCAAAAATAACATTTCTTTATTGATATGTTGAGGAATTGGTGACTGTAACAGGAAAACCACCACAGCGTAAAAAGTCAAATGACGAATCAATGCAAGCTACACAAATGACCAAAAGATTGGTTGCAAACTATAGAAACATAGGACAATCAGTTGGTGAGCTTTTCGTTTTAACAACTGAAGGTCATTAGTAATAATAATAATAAATTTGCAGCAGTTTATTTGCCTTGTATTTAATTGATGTGTCTTTATTTTTCACACAAGTAGGTGATATATTTGCTGGCAAATTACATCCGAGTTCCACTAGCAGTGTACCTCAGGATCCTTACTCAAGTACAATACGAGCAGCGCAATGCCAATCAATGACTGATACGCAAGCTGGTATGTTTATTTGATTGGATGGTCTACAAGTGTCGATTAGCGTTATTGACCTCATTTTTTGTGTTATACAATTGATTTACAACATCGCTCACCATATTTCTTTTATTGTAGCAGAGATAGTAGATTATAGCAATATTGACTTCGCTTATGGGTCGGATCATGATGATGAAATTAGAAGTGATCGCATTGAGGAGGACAGTAATATAGGTATTTACTCATATAATTAGGATAGATTGATTTAAACATTGAAGATCTATTGCATTTGAAAACTTAGCTTACTACTCACGTTTATTATCATCAAACAGAAGCAATGGCAAGTACACAACATGAGAGGTTGGGCAAAGACAAAACAATTGAAAATGTGACAACCATTGACGAGTTTGGATCCACAGGTAATAGCATCGGCTTTTAAATATAATCTTTGCATTTTAAAGGTTAAATTAAAATTGTCATGTCAATCCTTTTGACCAATTTGACTTTTATTTTGTAGATTACATGGATGAAGGTGATCCTATACACCAATGCAAATACTGTCAAGCATTACTTTGGTATAATGAAAGGGTGAAGAAAGACCAAAAACGGAATGTGAACATGTTCTCAATTTGTTGCCTACAAGGGAAAGTTCAAATACCATTCATGAAATCACCACCACCAATCTTGCATGATCTATTTTTCAATAAGAATTCTGCAGAGTCTAAAAATTTCCATTGCAATATTAGGCAATATAATAACATGTTTACATTCACGTCATTGGGAGGTAACATTGACCACTCAAAGAATCGTGGTGGTGGTCCTTACTCATTCATCATGCATGGAGTAAATTACCACAGTATAGGAAGTTTGCTTCCACCAGAAGGTGCGAGGCCAGTTTTCTCACAATTATATATATATGACACTGATAACGAGGTTGCCAATCGTATATCAGCTGTGTGGTAAGTTATTCAACCTCATGTTACTGAATTAGTATTCCTTTTTACCCTATGATTCAAATGCTAATAATTTTTTTCATTTTGTAGCAAGCATCAAGAAAAAACAAGCATTGATCCAAAAATTGTTAAGCAGATTAAGGAAGCTCTTGATGCTGTAAATCCCTTTGTTCAGCAGTATCGAGCAGCATCATCAAGGATAATTGGTGAAGACTGTCATGACCTTAAATTATGCCTGATAAGCAGCAGAGAACATGATGGAAGGACATTCAATTTACCATCTGCTTCAGAGGTTGCAGCATTAGTCGTTGGTGATGTTGATATGGCTTTTAATGTCAGGGATGTTATTGTTGAGCAATTGTCTGGATCAATTCAACATATTAGTGAATTACATCCTGCATACCTTCCACTCCAATATCCAATCCTATTTCCATTTGGAGAAGATGGATATAGGCATGACATCGAACACAGAGAAGACACCCTTAGTTCTACCAAGAAGAAAAAAAGGCTAAGCATGAGAGAATATTTCACTTTCAGGTTGATGGTGCGGGAGAATGAGGCATCGGCATTACTACATGCACGAAGATTACTACAACAATTTGTGGTTGATGGTTATACAATGATTGAGTCACAAAGGCTACTTTGGATTCGAACGCATCAGAAAGAATTGCGTGTTGATTTGTATCAGGGATTATCAGATGCTTTAACAAGTGGAGAACGGGATGCAAGTTCCACTGGTAGACGCATAATATTACCTTCATCATTTACTGGGGGTGCAAGATATATGATACTAAATTACCAAGATGCAATGGCTATATGTAGGTGGGCAGGATATCCAGACATTTTTATTACATTTACTTGCAATCCTGCTTGGCCTGAAATAACAAGATTTTGCAAAAAACACTCATTACAGCCCTCAGATCGTCCTGATATACTATGTAGAGTGTTCAAAATGAAGTTGCAAACATTAATGAAGACCATTAAGGAGGAAAAGTTATTTGGCACTGTTCGTGCAGGTAATTGTTTGCACAAATACTATAATTTCAATTTGATTTGTTGATGTATAGAATAATCTGTTAACAATATGATATATACCATTTTCTCATGCAGAGGTTTACACCATTGAGTTTCAGAAGCGAGGCTTGCCACATGCCCATATATTATTATTCCTTGATCCAAGGGATAAGCTAAAGAACCCGGAAGATGTTGATGCGATGATATGTGCGGAAATTCCAGACAAGAACACTTCACCATTGTTATATGAATTAGTAAAGAAATTCATGGTCCATGGACCATGTGGTGCAGCAAACCCGAAGTCACCATGCATGAAAGATCATAAATGCAGTAAGTACTTCCCTAAGAAATACAACTCACATACAACTATTGATGATGATGGTTATCCAACATATAGAAGAAGGAATGATGGGCGTATCATAGATACAAAATCTATCCCACTAGATAATAGATATGTTGTCCCTTACAATCCACTACTACTACGTAGATTTCAAGCTCATATCAATGTTGAGAAATGCAATCAATCAACCGCAATCAAGTACTTATTCAAGTACATTAGTAAAGGGAATGATAGAGTGGTTGCAGGCATATTTGATGACAACGGGGGAAGGGTGTTTGATGAAATACAGCAATATTATAACTGTAGGTACATATCAGCGTGTGAAGCTTCATGGAGAATATTTGGATTTGACATTCACCATAGGCATCCTTCAGTTGAAAGATTGAGTTTCCATCTTCCTAATCAGCAAGCAGTGATTTATTGTAACACCGATGATGTTGCTGATCTATTAGATAAACCAAGGGTTTCTGAATCTCAATTCCTCGCATGGATGAAGCTTAATATCATAGATGCTTTTGCTCAAACTCTAACTTATTCAGAATTTCCAAATCATTATGTCTACAAGCGAGATAAACGAGAGTGGAGGAAAAGGAAGAAGGGCTTTGCAGTGGGTAGAATAACTCATGTCTCACCAACAGCAGGAGAACTATATTACCTTCGAATTCTTCTAACTAAAGTAAGAGGTCCACGTTCATTTGATGAGATCAAAACAGTTAATGGTGTTGTACATTCTACATTTAGGGAAGCGTGCTTTGCATTGGGATTACTAGATGATGACAGAGAGTATATTGTTGCAATTAACGAGGCATCTTCATGGGCATCTGGAAATGCTTTGAGAAAAATGTTTGTGAGCATGTTATTATGCTGTTGTCTTAGCCGTCCAGAAAATGTTTGGAAGGAGACTTCAAAGCTGCTTGCTGAAGATTTATTGTACATTCCTCGCCAAGATGCCAACACTTTTAGTAAGTTAATTTTGTAATGATGCCATAAATGTTTTTTCCTTCTGAAATTTATTATTCTTTATATAATGGAAAAAAATTTTACATTGCAGGCGACTTAGTTTCATTGCATGAGAAGGAGCAACTTGCACTAATTGAGATTGATAAATTGCTTCAATCTAATGGGAAGAGTCTTGATAGTTATCCTACACTTCCTCGCCCTACTTATAGAGAGCCTTTAGATGTCACAAATCATCTAATCTTACAAGAATTGAAATACGACCGACAAGCTCTTCAGATAGAAGCTGAACAACTTATTGCTGCTTTGACTGTTGAGCAAAAGGACATTTTCAACAAGATTTTAAATGCATTGGAGGGTGATATGGGAGACTTTTTCTTTGTCTACGGATATGGAGGCACAGGGAAAACATTCTTGTGGAATGCACTTACATCATCATTGAGATCAGCAGGAAAAATTGTCTTGACTGTTGCATCAAGTGGAATTGCAGCTACGTTATTGCCCTCCGGGAGGACTGCTCATTCTAGGTTTGCTATCCCAATCCAAATAACTGAATATTCACTTTGTTCAATAAAGCATAATTCTGCTTTGGCAAAACTGATTCAATGCACGAAATTGATTATTTGGGATGAAGCTCCTATGGTTCAACGTCATTGTATTGAAGCCTTTGATCGAACTCTTAAAGATATAATGCATTGCTCTCATCCATTTGGTGGTAAATGTGTCGTTATGGGAGGTGATTTTCGTCAAATTCTTCCTGTTATCCCTAAAGGCACAAGAGCAAGTGTTGTCAATGCATGTATAAGCTCATCATTCTTGTGGGGTCATTGCACGATGTTTCAATTGACAAAGAATATGCGTTTGCAATCATCTGCATCTAACCAAGACAATGAAAGGTTAGAGAGGTTCTCCAATTGGTTGTTAGCTGTAGGTGATGGTCGTCTAGGTGAAAGTAATGATGGTATTGCTGAGATTGAAATTCCACCTGAGTTGTTAGTATCAAAATTCTCAAATCCAATAGAGGCAATTGTTTCTTCAACCTATGTGGATCTGATGGGAAATCTTGGGAACAGCGAATACTTCAATAACAGAGCAATTCTTGCACCCACGATTGACCATGTGAATCAAATTAATGATTACATGTGTTCTTTATTGCCTGGTGATTCTTATGAGTATCTTAGTTGTGACACTGTTTGCAAGTCAACTGAAGACAGTGATAGCTTTGACAACTTGTATACTACTGAATTCTTAAATACTATCAACAGTTCAGGCTTACCACCACATAAGTTATACTTGAAAGTAGGTGCCCCTATTATGCTATTAAGGAACATTGATCAAGCATCAGGCCTTTGCAATGGTACTCGTCTCCAGATATCTAAGCTTGGGAAGAATGTCATTGAAGCGATTACTTTAAATGGATCGTGTCCCAACCACAAGGTATTGTTGCATAGGATGGATATGAATCCATCAGAGAGTCGATGGCCATTTCGTATGCAACGGAGGCAATTCCCAGTGACACTTTCATTTGCTATGACTATTAACAAAAGTCAAGGTCAATCATTGAGGAATGTAGGCTTATTCTTGACTAGGCCAGTTTTTACACATGGACAATTATATGTCGCATTGTCTAGAGTTCGATCAATGGATGGCTTGAAGATTATTGTAGATGAGTGTGGATGCAGCATGAAGACGACAACAACTAATGTTGTGTACAGAGAGATATTTAGTAATTTGTTGCAGTAGGTTAGTTAACTTTTTTTTTTGTAAGGTGCTGCTGTTATTGTGATTCAATATTTGCATGCGGAATGACTATAGTTGTTGCACATTAAGACATTTGGTTGATTCCGGAATTGAAAATTTTGGTATGTTCATCTCATCGTTTTCTGCTTCCCGTGCAGCGCACGGGAGAGCACATGCTAGTTTTAAAATAGAACAATAAATTACGCACATTAAAAAAATTAAACAGTAATGGTGCCTGATTTGTTTTGGAACAGATGCCATAGGTGAATGAACATTATTAAAAAGAATTGTTATCACACCTATTTGTGTTGTAACAGGTGTCATAAGCTGTCCGAATAAGAAAAACCGTGTTTTTTGTTGGGCCTGAGAATAAGAAACAATTTTAAACAACTGAAAGTTTAAAAAAAAGATCATAACGTCTCTCTTTTTTGGGCCTGACACCACATGTTTATTTTTTTTTAATTTTTATATGTTTCACGTCTGATCCTTTCAATGACCGGACGCGATAAGTGCTTTTTTATAAAAACATTTGTCCCTCTTTTCCTCCACAATGCCTCATTTAGTATTTCAGCTAGCGCCTTAATTTTGGACTTCATTTTCCTCCATAATTTATAAACTTAGGCCGCTAATACTTTCATTTTTAATTCAAAATAAAAAGTTATAAAAAAGCAATTCAAATTTATAATGGGTAAATGTGCATCGTAATCTCATTTTCGAGGTGCATCTAATGCCCCATTCTTTTATATGGTGATAGTTTTTTATTCTCTCACATTACTACCGACACAAGTGCCATCAGTCTTGACAATCAAAATATTTTCTTTAGAATAATATGATATCCAATATCATTGACTAATCCAAATTTTAAGAATAATATTTTCACATATCTTATATGCATTATAATTGACAAGCTAAGCTTATAATTAACCATCATGTCATGTCAAATTTTCATTTCGGACTAACGGAAGAAAGTGTAAAGAGCCATATTCAAACATGAGATAAAAATAGCCTGCATAACTTGTCCCCAATAAGATATAAATATTCTTATTCATATTTATTTCAGATCCAGAACACAAAAGCAGAACAAATATGGATCAAGCAAGAGAGAAAAAGAAGAAGAAGCAGGAGGTCTCTGACAACAAACACAACACTTTTTGAAACCGCATGATGCGTTGCGGTGTCCATCGTTCCCGTAGCTACTGGCATCTTCTCCACCCTGTCCTTTTTTCTTTTTTTTGGCTCAAATCCTACAGACCTACACACGCACATACAATAAAAAGTGTGTTAAAATATAAATTAGTTTTCAATTTCTGGCCTTAATTTAGTTTTGATTAATTTTATTAGTGAGAAGGATCATAAATTTTTATATACAAAAAGTATCAGTATACAGCATTGATACTATGATAATTAGGTCCTTCTCACCAATCAAAATTTTTTATAGGAGATTTTTTTTCCTAAATTTCTCTTTTAAAATTAATCATATTATTCTTGAGCTATGTATATTTTTAAGGCCCCATGCAATGCTTTAAGCAATCATTTGGCGGGGCATTCCAATTCTTATTATTAATTAATCTTTTATGTACAGAGCAAATATAGTGGAAAGAATCCATGATATTACAGGGCAGCATGGGACATACAACATGAATATGAATGTAGATGGTGTGTGTGTGTGCATGTTGACATGCCATGGAGGAACTTATTTGTATGTAACTTAAGCTCAACATCTGTTATGAATAAGTATAGAGGAAGTACCTTTCAGAGAGTCTAGTGTCTTCATGTCTACATGAGGGATATGAGCAATTTTAGGCCAATCTGGTCCTTTCTCCTTTTCACACCTCTCCTTCAGCAACGGACATCCATAACCAATAGTTAAGTGAGAAAGGGATGGAGGTAAAGCATCTTCTTCTGGCATGCCTTCAAAACTCACTTGATGGCACCACCTAAACGATAAGGAAGTGAGAGAATGGAGGTGCACAAGACCCCTATGGTTTATTCTTCTCAAATTGGTACAATAATTGAATGACAGAGATTGGAGATTGGGCGGCAACAATCTCTCTTCTTCAGGGAACCACTCCATGACGTCATCACTAATTCCAAGTTCTTTCAAAGACAACAACTCATGCAAACCCCAATCCCTACCACACGCAATGACCTTGGAACACCAATGGATTGTAAGACGCTGTAGGCTGGAAAGCATACCTCCTTGGGGAAGAGATTCCATTGCTGGACAACGCCATAAAGATAGGTCATGGAGAGGTGGAAGCACATCTGAGATGCTCCATGTGGGCATATCTTTTACTGATATCTTCGTACACTCCCCTAAAGACAGGTTCTCCATGGAAGAGGACCTGGGAAGTGTCGCCTCCAAATTCCCACATCCCGAAATGACTAGTGTTTTTAGACAAGGAAGGTGTTGAGGCAGAGACTTTGTCAGTCTAGGACAATTATATATACAAAGTTGTTCAAGGCGTGGGAAACTTTGACCTTCGTAGCATATATCCCATTCTTCCCATTCGTCCATTCTAGAAAACTCTAAATATAAGAGGGAAGGAAATGGTTGAGCAATTGAGGAGCCATTCCCATAGAACTCTTCACCTATCACCTTTATTCCACCAAGTTGGTAAATCACGAGTGTCCGGAGGAAACGTAGTTCCCCAAGTGGTGGTAATAAGCTCACATCGTTGTTACCACTCAAACATAAACACACTAAATTGGGTAAAAAATGTGCAACACCAAGAAGCCACTTTGGAAATCTAGTACCTCTGTATCCCTTGACGACGAGCTCTTCCACACTCTGATTTGGCTCAACTGCTTCCAATACGTGCTCCTGGCGTCGTGCCTTTTCACGACTATAGCTGTCCCCCTGATACAACAATGTCAATTTATCCAATTTCTTTTCTTTCAAATTGGCCTCCCTCATATCTGTAGGATCACTTACGTGCTCCATATTTGAGATGGTTAGTGAGCCTGTTAAGTGGTTAAAGGCTCCTAATTCTTTTATATTTGATCCTCCTTTCTTTGCCACAACAAACTTATTCATTGTTTGGAGCTGATTTAACTTTCCCATACCTCTTGGCATCTTCCGTATGTCACAGCCTTTCAAGTCAAGATGACGCAAGTTGATGAGTTTGTACAAATTTGATGGCAACTCAGTCAAGTCACCACAACCTCTTAATTTCAACGTTTGTAAATTAATCAACAAGCACATTGAATTTGGCAATTTCTCAACTGAAGTGTAGGAAAGATCCAAATAATGCAGGTGCTTTAAATTGCTAATGCCGGCTGTCAAGCTTCTCAAATTTGGAGATCTCTTCAAAGATAATTGTCGTATGTACTTGAGACAACAAAGCCTGGACATTATATCATTGCCAACGCCAAATTCATAACTGCCAAAGTGGATAAAACTACGTAATTGGTGGCATTTTAAAACTTTCTCAAAAATGTCAACATTATCACTTTTGCATCTTATATATGAAAAGTAGCGAGTCTTGGTTGACATATCTTGTACTTGAGCAGCATCAAGTGACACAAAAAACTCTCCTGCCACAGATTTTGCTAAATCATTCAACAGATCATGCATGATGAAATAATCACCACCTTTTTTTGATGGCTCAAAAAAGGACCTAGACTCCAAATCATTGAAAATTTCATCACCTGTTTCTTCAAGGCTCGTACTTCTTTGAGTTGGATATATTAAACCATCTGCCATCCACAATTGGATTAGGACATTCTTATCTATGTCATAATCTTTGGGAAAGATTGAGCAATATGCAAAACAACGCTTCAAATTTGAGGGTAGATAATGGTAACTCAATCTTAAGGATGGAACAATATTGCTATGATCTTCTGACAATGCCCAAAACTCACTTTTCAAAATCTTATTCCAGTGTTGAAAAGAGAGTTTTATATGCAACAAACTTCCCAGTGTTTTTATTGCTAAAGGCAATCCTCCACATTTCTTTATGATTTCTTTACCAATCCGTACAAGATCTGGACCAACAGCATCGGGTTGGTTGTTAAATGCATGTTTCACAAATAAATTACAACAATCTCCATCTTGTAATGGCTTCAAAGGATATGTAAAGGCACAACACATAACTTCCGCTACTATTTTATTACGGGTTGTGATAAGAATCTTACTCTGTGGTGCCACTTGTCTCAAAGGAGCGGTGAAAACCTCCCAAATTTGACAATTCTCATTCCAGACATCATCAAGAACGAGAAATAATGTCTTGCCCTTCAATGTCTCTTTCAGTTTAGACTGATTTGAGTGAAAATCTTGTTCAGTTGGACAACTAAGTGACTGAAGAATTGCTTTTGTGACACAATCAACATCAAACTCTTCAGAAACACACACCCAAGCTTTATGTTGAAAATGATCCTTCATCCTTGGATCTTCATAAACAAGTCGTGCAAGGGTTGTCTTACCCATCCCGCCCATACCAGTGACGGCAATCACATCCATAGGCAATTGATTCCTACATCCCATGTTCTGTGACAGTAAAATCTCTACAACCCTCTCTTTATCAACATCTCTACCATATATATCGGATTCATCTATCAAATGTGTTGAAGGCAATCTTCTGTATGCTCTCCTGTTCATCACTCCCGATTGATCACCGGCAGATGGCCCTTCTCTTAATCCCAATATCTCATTTTGCTTCATAAGATTCTTTAGGTTGTTAAGCAGTTCTTTTAACTCTGACTCTATCTTTTTGTCAAAATGATTTCGACTAGCAAGAGTAGTACAGAAGCCTCGTACCTTGCGGATACCAGTAGAACTTTGCGATTCGGCATCCAGCTTCTGTTGTGATGCCTCAATAGCAATGTCGTCCAGCAAGTCTTGAGCCTTAAAGACTTCATCTTTGAGCTCGTCAAGCCACTTCTTCACATGATGGTCTCTGTATTGCCTTTCCTCTGCATCGTCAACAATTTTGCCCACAGAATTAAGGGTGATATCCAACTCTTTGAGCAAGTTATCATTGAGCTTTCTGCGACGAAAGTAT